AGACTGAAACAGGCTCCAGGCTCTGAGCTGGCAGTCAGCACAGAGCCCGACGCGGGGCTCAAACCCACGAACCGCGAGATCATGACCCAAGCGAAAGTCGGGCGCTTAACCGACTAAGCCACCCAGGCGCCCCTCCTATGTGCTTCCAAGGATCCATCTCTGCCTACATCTATCTGTCCACAGTGTCTCCCATTTTGCTCATTCAGTCTTTTCTCACAACAGATGAGAGAATACACAGAGCATTCAGGCATGCACATTGACAATATAACTGAAGATCTTTTCCTCCCCCATCCCTCCGCCCAGATATAAGTTTTGGGAAATTAATTTTGAATTCCAAAACCCATAATGGGAAGAAGTCCCCCTTTTTTCCCTTGCACAAAATGCGACACTATGGAGGAGATAGTTTCACCTTCGCTGTCACCTTCCCCCCAAGCATAATCAATCCCTTGTCTCCTGAGGGGTCTCCAGGGACGTCATTTTGTTGTATGTCCTTTCAGACTTTTTTTTGAAGGTCTTGTAGTTATATATTTATATAATTTTACAGTTTAATAGAAACACACACACATTTGGTCACTTGTTCTTTTCTCTCAATGGTTTGTTTTAGACTCCTCCCTAATCGTAAATTGTTTTTTTTTTTAATGTTTTATTTATTTCTGGGAGAGAGAGAGAGAGAGAGAGCAGGGGAGGGTCAGAGAGAGAGGGAGACACAGAATCTGAAACAGGCTCCAGGCTCTGAGCTAGCTGTCAGCACAGAGCCCGACGTGGGGCTTGAACCCACGAACCGTGAGATCATGACCTGAGCCGAAGTCGGACACTTAACCGACTGAACCACCGAGGCGCCCCTCTAATTGTAAATTGTATGATTTATTCAGCCTATTCTTGTTGGGGACATTTATGTGATGATTTGCAGTTATGACAGATAGTGATGAATTGCCTTTCATCGTCTCTGTACTGATTTACCCTATAGTGTTTGATAGGACTACTGATCTGTATTTCCTCGTCTTGATAACTGTATAGTATTCCATCACATGGATGTACCACAATTTATGTAAACATTCTCCATCCCAGGGACATTTGTATAGTAAGGGGCCTTTGGCTATATAAACATGATGTAGAGGAGCGCCTGGGTGGCTTAGTCGGTTAAGCGTCCGACTTTCGCTTAGGTCATGATCTCGCGGTTCGTGGGTTCGAGCCCCGCGTCGGGCTCTGTGCTGACTGCCAGCTCAGAGCCTGGAGCCTGTTTCAGTCTGTGACTCCCTCTCTCTCTGACCCTCCCCTGCTCACGCTGTCTCTCTCTCTCTCCTAGAAATAAATAAAGATATTAAAAAAAAACCATGATGTAGAAACATCCATATACACTGATTTACATGTGAGGACGTATCTCCAGAACAAATTTCTGGATGTAGAGTTGCTGAATCAATGACCATCTGAGTTTTCACAGTTTAACAGCTCTTGACAAACCCAGTCCTACAGACAGATTTTGAGAGTGACTATTTTCTCGCATCTTCACTGACAGTGTGCATAAAGAAATTTTAAAACTCTTGCCAATCTGATAGGTGAATATAATACTTCATTATCCTAAAGAATATCACTTTAAGTATGGGTAAAACTGAGCATGATTTTTATATGTCTATGAACCACGCATATTTCTTTTTCCTTGGAGATTCAATTTGTATAATTTGCCTTTTTTACTTTGAGTTATTCTGTTTTTTTTTCTTATTAATTTGTAAGGACTCTTTAAATATATAGAAAACTAGTTCCTTTTATGTTACGCAAAAAGTCTTTCCTAGGTTGTCTTTTGACTTTATTTAGTTTTTGTTCATTTATTTGGAGTCACATTTGTTAACCTTTTTATAGCTTCTTTTCTTTTTTTTTTAATGCTTGGCATGGCCTTACACATTCTAATGCTAAACTGCAAAACCTGTTTGTTTCCTTCTAATGGGTTTATTTATTAAAAGTATTTTATTTATGGGACACTTGGGTGGCTCAGTTGGTTGAGCATCTGACTCCGTTGATTTTGGCTCCGGTCATGATCTTACGGTTCATGCGTTTGACTCCACGTCGGGCTCTGTGCTGACAGCTCAGAGCCAGGAGCCTGCTTCCAATTCTTGTCTCCCTCTCTCTCTGCCCCTCCCCTGCTCCTGCTCTCTCTCTCAAAAATAAATAAATTCTAAAATATTTCATTTATTAAGATTTTTGTTATCTTTTCTTATATTTAATTCTTCTTCCTATGAAACCCACACAGTTGTAAGTACTGAGGTAAAAAATCTATTTTTTACTCCAAATGGCTAATTATCTCAACAGAATTTAATAAAGATTTTGTATTTGTCCTAGGATTAAAAAATTTTTTAGCGTTTATTTATTTTTGAGAAAAAGCATATATTTACATATTTATATGTAAACACCACTTAGTTTTCATTATTATGTTAAAATTTTTTTTCCATACTTGATAAAGTTGGTCCCATCTCATTACTTGGCATTTATAATTTTTTCCTCGCATTGTTATTATTTTTTCATTTGAACTCTACGATTGGATTGGGTAGTTTGAAAAATAATCTTGACAGTTTTAACTAATTTGGATTTGGACATTGGGTGCTAAGGATGACAAGAACTGTGGCCCTCAATTCATGACTGATTATCATCATTTCTATGCAGCGCTTGTTTATTCCCATTCATTCTAAGTCTCCACCCACCCCTGCTTTCCCGCCCCCACAGCCATGTCTGGGATCTCAGTCCCAGACCCCTGCCCCCACCACCGCATCCCTACCTCAGATGCCCAGACATGGCATCTCCACTTCTAGCCTTCCACCAATATGGTTCTAGAGAGTCCAATTCTTTAATTTGCATACTTTGTTGTTTTGGGTGGGTGTATTTTAAAACTCACAGATATGTGGGGCATCTGGGAGGCTCATTCAGTTGAGTGTCCTGGTCATGAACTCATGGTTGGTGAGTTCGAGCTTCACGTGGGGCCCTGTGCTGACAGCTCAGAGCCTGGAGCCTGCTTTAGATTCTGCGTCTCCCTCTCTCTCTGCCCCTCCCCCACTTGCACTCTGTCTCTTTCTCTCTCAAAAAATAAACAATAATAAAATAATTTTTAAATAATAAAATAAAAGATTTCCTTTTTAAAGAGACTGTATAAATTAAAGCTTTCTAACTTTTAAGGGTGCTGTGTGAATGTTGTACTTTTTCAGAAATAACTTCTTTAAAAAATTTTTAAAGTACTTATTTATTTTTGAGACACACACATACACACACACACACAGAGTGTGAGCAGTGGAGGGGCAGAAAGAGAGGGAGATAAAGAATCCAAGGAGCAGCTGGAGGTCTGGGGGAATCTTTGATTCCATCCCTGGCTAATTGTTGGGGGGCTTCCGTAGGGACGACCTGGCCCAGTTGCCCTTCCTGACCATGTGCATCAAGGAGAGTCTGCGGTTGCACCCCCCGGTCACAGCCGTCTCTCGCTGCTGCGCCCAGGACGTCACGCTCCCAGATGGCCGGGTCATCCCCAAAGGTGCCCACGACATCAGGAGGAGGAGCCTCCTGGGGAAGAAGAGGGGCCCATCAGACAGGGTGAAACCCTCCCTGACTGGCCCCTCCTCTCCACAGGTGTCACCTGCCTCATTAGTATTTTCGGGACCCACCACAATCCATCCGTGTGGCCGGACCCTGAGGTGCTGCCTCCGCCCCCCTCCCCTCCACCCGCCCTCGTACCTGGCTGCTTCCCTAGAGGGACCCAGGGGCGGGCGCAGGGTGCTGACCTGGCAAATCACACACCACCTCCCTTCATCAAACGCACACGTCCCTCGGAAGCTGGCTGTCCCGGGACCCCCTCCAACAGCCCCGCCTCTCTCCGCCCGCAGGTATACAATCCTCTCCGCTTTGACCCCGAAAACACCCAGGACAGGTCTTCCCTGGCTTTTATTCCCTTCTCCGCGGGGCCCAGGTGAGCACAGCGGGCGTCTGAGGTGGGCAAGGGGTGGTGGGGGCGGGGGTCTGGGACTGAGACCCCAGACGTGGCTGTGGGGGCGGGGAGGCGGGGGCGGGTGTCGAGGCTGGCTCTTCTCTCCCTGGGCAGTGGGGATCGGGCGGGAGCGACGAGCGCTGCGTGGTCCGGGAGCCCCTTCCCCGCCGTCTGGGAGTTGAGGGCTGGGGTCTGAGCCAAGCTCAGGCCTCCGACTCCCTGCGGGCCGTGCTGGGGGCTCGGGGCCCGGGTCTGCGCGCGGTGGGGCCTGCCGGGGCCCCGGCGAGTGAGCGCGCCCACGGCCGCCCGCAGGAACTGCATCGGGCAGACGTTCGCCCTGACCGAGATGAAGGTGGTCCTGGCGCTCACGCTGCTGCGCTTTCGGGTCCTGCCCGACGAGGAGGAGCCGCGCAGGAAGCCGGAGCTCATCCTGCGCGCCGAGGGCGGACTTTGGCTGCGGGTGGAGCCGCTGAGCGCGCGCCCCCAGTGACCCTCCAGCTGCTGGCTTGGGCTCCACCGCGGCCTTACCTGCACACCCCCCCTGGCGGATTCCCGGAACCAGAACGCTGTGGGCTCCTCTGCCCGGGCGCCACCGACGGCCGGCAGGTGGCGCTAGGGACCTGCGGGACCGCAGTGGGTGGGCGTGGCGGGGGGGGAGGGGAGGCTGCTGTGTGAGCGCAGGAGCCTGAGGGCCTTCCCAGCTGACCACAGGCCCCCATGCCGATTGCGGGTTCCCCCAGAGCCCAATAAGGAATTTTACCCTGTAGGCAATAGGGAGCCATGGGAAGTATTTGAGTAGGAGAGGGACGTGTTAAGGACTGCCTGAGGGGCATGTTTGAAGCTCTGGGTCACAGTGGAAAACCCGGTGTGGCACTACGCTCTGGCCACCCTAGCCTCTGCTGGTATCTAATATATCCAATCTTTTATCTCAGAATCCTTCACTATGTTTCCATGGTTACTATGTTTACTGAAACATAACAAATATAGATGCTTTATCCTGTGTGTCTGATCATTGCAATCATTGTATCTGTTATGTGCTGTGGTGTTTTTGCTAGTTTTCACCGGTAGGGTCTTGTGTGCCTGTTTATCTTTGCCTGGGTATTGGTTATCATATTTGAATAACATTTGCAGAATTTGAAGAAGGTAGCTTTCTTTAAGGAGGCATTCGTTGAGCCTTGCTGGCCAAGGAGTATAATAAATTAAGTTGAAGGCTTGTGATGCCCAGATCACTAAGGCAGTTTTTAATTCCAGCAAAAGTCACACTTGCAGTCTCCTCCACCTGTGTTCTCACCCTGAGCCATGTAGCTCTTTGAGGTCTCCAGCTATGTAAGGAGGGTCTTCTTACAATTTCTCTTTCCTATGTCACTCTAGACTTTGATTTTTCCCCCTGACCATGAGGCCATCAAAACAGTTTCACATTTTCCTGACTTGCTCCAGGGGAAAAGTATAATTAGTGTTCATTTTACTCTAGGCTTCTATTTTTATTTGAGTGGCATCTTTGTAATTCTTTACTGTCTTTTCAGGTCATTTATGCATTTAAGGAATTGGAAAAGGGGGCGCCTGGGTGGCTCAGTTGGTTAAGCATCTGACTCTTGATTTTGGCTCAGGCCATGATCTTACACTTTCGTGGGTTTGAGCCCTGAATGGGGCTCTGTGCTGACAGTGTGGAGCTTGCTTGAGATTCTCTCTCTCTCCTCTCTCTGCCCCTCCCCTACTTGCACTGTCTCTGACTTTCTCAATTAATAACCTTTAAAAATAAAGAAATTGGAAAAGTATCCAGCTGTGAGAGTTGTTTTTTTTTTAAATCGAAAGTTTAATCCCAATAAGCTAGGTTGCCATTAATGGGAACAGGAAGTCTCCTTTGGAATTTTATTTATTTTATTTTAGTTTTTTCAGAGAGTACCAGTGCAAGTGGGGGAGGGGCAGAAGAAGATGGAAAGAGAGAATCTTAAGCAGGCTTCACACCCAGCTCATGGCTCAATGTGGGGCTAAAACTCATGACTGTGAGATCATGACCTGAGTCGAAATCTAGGGCAGGATGTTTAACCAGTTGAGCCACCCAGGCACCCCTCAGTTGGAATTTTAAATGGTGATGATCCAGTCATTACTTCACTCTTGAGCCTATTCAGGGTGATAATTGCTTTTAAGTGTCTAGGTTTGTGGACCACAAAAGCTCACATCGAGGAGAAGACAGCACATCACCTAGAGATCCTGGAATTTGGGCTAAATGGAGGGAGCAGGTGGCCTTCGAGGCTGACTCCCCCGGGGATGTTGTATAGTGAGAGTGGTACACATTGGATTATTGTCAACAGGATGGATTGTGTTGGAGACTGCTAACTGTGTATCCTCACATTCATTTTTGCCTTCTTATAATCCTTAGTTTTTAGTTTAGGTGCATGGCAGGCTGAAATAGATTATATTTGAAAGCTTTTCTTGAAACTGGATTGGCTAAATGACTATACCCTGTTCCATAGGAAAAGTCAAAGAGTACACGGTAATTCTAGAAGCCCTGCTTAAGAGAAAGGTAGACATTCTCTCTGTCCAGTTTTCCCCTCTTTCTTTGTTGTTTCTTGAGGTGATGTGGGGACCTGGAGCTTCACCTTGGCTCAAGAGGATAAGACTACTCTATAAGGAAGGGGGGGGGCAGATAAATAAATGCAATTAGGGTCAGATGACCCTGGATCCACTGCACCTTGGAATTTTTCTACCAAGTTCACAATTTCAGTCTGCTATTTACTAGCTGTTTGGGTTGGGGGAAATTGTTGGTCTCTCTGAGCCTGAGTTCTGTTACCATGCAGTAACAGCCACCTTATTACACTGATGGAGAGACTGAATAAGCAAACATGTGCAACATCACTGAGTCAATAACTGCTAAGTACTTTCTTCTTTTTGCATCGTGTTCGAAGATTTAAAAGGCTGTAGTCACAAAAGTTAAATTTAAGTATTGGGAAATGTGGCAATATTCTGAGAAGAAAATTATCATTAGAAGCTCCAGTTAGTTCTGAATATCCGTAGTTACCTCTGAGAAACTCCAAGGGCCTTCGATGCCAAGCTGGCCTTGAAACTAGGAACTGAAAAAAATTTTTTCTCCCCCTCTGAAGAGGCATGATCTGGACTTCATTGTCGCTTCATGGTTCAAGAGGTGAAGGTCACGCGGGTCCCAGTAGAGAAAAGAAGATGGGGTTGGAATGGCCCCCTTCAGCACCCGGGACAGCGGCCGCTCCTCGACTCCTTCCTCTCAGGCTGTAGGCGGACCTGTCCTGGGCTAAACAGCCTGGGCTGAAACCTTTCTGGGGCCCACAGATTGGAGGCCCCGGAGTCTTAGTGACTGCAAGATAGGAAAGGAACACTGCACCATGAAATGAATAAATATTTAATATATTCTAATCTGAAAATCACATATGTTTTTCTCTGCCCAATTCTTTTTTAAAAAATGTTTAATGTTTTATTTATTTCTGAGGGAAAGACAGCATGAGCAGGGGAGGGTCAGAGAGAGAGGGACACACAGAATCTGAAACAGGCTCCAGGCTCTGAGCTGGCAGTCAGCACAGAGCCCGACGCGGGGCTCGAACCCACGAACCGCGAGATCATGACCTGAGCCGAAGTCGGACGCTCAACCGACTGAGCCACCCAGGTGCCCCTCTATATAGATTTTTGTATATTGGTCATGTATCCTGAACTCTGTTGGATAATTCCCATTGGAACACAGATAATGCTGTTATTTCCTCAGTCTTAAAAAGTCCTTTTCCTTGGCCCACTTTCCCAGTAACTAATGTACCACATCTTTCCTCCACCATGCACTAACCCCTTCAAAGACTGATCTATATTTGTGTTAAATGTCTCCTCTTCCACTATAAATAGGCCTTGAGTTTCTACTGAGGATCGTGTTGGTGAATGAATGCGAGAGGGGGGATGAGCGGCATGAAGCCCATGGGTCCTCAGGACCCTGCTGCGCCTGCCTGTATTAATTCCAAAGGACCCCAGCCTGCTGTCGCTAACTGCTGTGGGTCTCCTTCCTTTCTCGAGTGTGTGGGTGGCGCCCTCCGCTGGACAGTTTGGGACAGCCGGCTCTAAGGCATCTGGTCTCCATGAATTCAGTATGTGTGTTGGTGTGACTGCGTGTGTGTCTGTGTACAAGCGTGTGTGTGACTGTGTGTGCGTTCATGCTGCTGTGTGTATACATGTGTGAGGGTGTGTGTGTGTGAGTGTATCCACGTCACTGGGCACATGCATGGGAGCATGTGTGTAAATATGTGTGCATGTGTGTGTGCACACTGTGAGTGTGTTTAAGTGTGTAACTGTGTGCATGTGTGGATGCATACGTGTTTGTATGTGATTCTATGTGTGTTATGTGTGCGTGTGTGTGTGTGAGTAAGGGTGTGACTGTATCTTGAAGTCACTCAACCCTGTAATAGGCAGGGATCTTAAATGGTTAAATAAGAGTGAGTGTAAGACGGAGCCCTTTACAAAGGTATGGAAACGGCCAAGGGAAACCATCAAAACTACTGCGGCATCCTGGTGTTACCATCAGCTGAGAGCCGCCACACTCCCATGTTGATGGGACCAAGGAGTAGCTATTTCTGGAACCCGTGAATAGTGGAGGTAGCCTTTGGCAGAGCATGGAGGCCATTTTTCTAATCTCTGATTGCCTGCAGGTGCCCCCTGCTGACCCAACACTATTTTCTTATTTGACCCCAGGAGTCTGCAGGTAGATGGCCAAAGACTTCTGTTGTAGCGCATTGTCTTGTCCTGGGTTCGTGTCCATTCCACATGTCCCCGCAGGTGGGGGTTCCCTCAGCTCCTCTGCACCAGGGTGGCCCCCTTGCCTGCTGGCTAGGCAGACATGACAATGAAGGGGGAAATCCTGCCTATTCCCTTGCAAGCTCTTCTGCTTTTTCTGTGATGTCCTTGGGGTCCCCCTCCATTGGCTTTTGCATGAGAAATAGCCTTTTAGCCTCCAGGGATGATATCTATTGATAGGGACCCCCACTGCTGGAGTGGTCAGAGCTGGCATCACCTAAAAAATCCTGTGCAAGGGAAGTTGACGTCAACTACTGTGCGGCCTCAGGACCTTCCTAAAGTTTCCCTTCAGCCTTATATTTCCAGAGCCAGCTTCTTGGCTCTCCTGGTCCTTCTGCCCAGAAGGTGGAAGCTCCAGTTATGGGTCTGGCCCTTGCCATGCGTTAGGGGCTGGTTGGGTATCTTCATCTTTATTACGGTAATTGAAATGGAGCAACTGTTTCCAGCCTGAGTGTTGAGCCAGATTTCAACACCGTGGGTCTCCCTGCGGGGCTGGTTCCTGCCTCCCTCACAGATGGATGCTGAGTGAAATTGCCTCTCTGGTCTTTGTTTATCTCAGTGTGTCTGAGGAAGGAAGGAAGAATGACACAGTTTTCAGGCCATTTGATTGCCCCACTCTGTGTTGGGTATTTATGGTCCTGGTGTGGCTTTAGAGGTAAGGAGTGATCTTCCTTCACTGTTCATTCTTCTATGTCATTCAGGTTTCAGCTTAAAGGTCATCTCCACAGGGAAGCCCTCCCTGATTGCCCCTTGGTCACTTGCTGGCTCTTCTCACTCTGTTAATTTCCTTCCACCTGACTTGGTCTTGTTTCCCATTGATTTCTCTCATCAGACACGAGCAGACATGAAGCTCCACAGAGACTTCATCTTTCTTGTTCATCTTGGGTCTTGGGTCTGAGCTCCGTGTCCAGTACAGAATAGGTGCTCAGGTACAGTTTGCTGTTGAAGGAGGTATAAGTCCACCTCTCCATTTTACTGAGGTGGACACGAAGCTCAGAGAGGGCAAGTGACTTGCCCAAGATTACACAGCCAGTGAGGAGCAGGGCTGGGCTCTGAACTTGTTCCTTCCCGAAGGCTGAGGTGGGGGAAAAGAGAGACTCCAGCCACCAGGCAGCTTCCATGCTTGCTCTAGACGGATCCCAGGCTGACTCCTGGGAGATGCGTCTTCATGGTGACACAAAAGAAAAACTCCTCATCTGCTCTGTGCACCAACTACGT